AGAAAGAAAAACTAGAAAGTACCAAAGGCATATGAAAGATATTAAAGCGAACATTTCTTTGCCTTAAGGAAATTAAAATATATGCTAATGTCAGCTCTTTTTATATAACAAAGTCCTTCAGCCCAACTATAAATTCTCCTGTATGTATATCTTCTACAAGGCCATACTTCAGCTCGTCTATAAAGCCTCCCATATGATAATTTATAAAGACTTAACACTATGTCGATCGAATGGAAAGATTCATCTAGCAGTATATAAGGTCTACTTCCCTGCAATATACCACTGGTCATGCATAAATACGCCATTCCGATTCGTATACTCAATTCTTGACATCTCTCTATAAAAACTTCCATATGTGTTCATCTAGAAGTACTTCTGTCTTTTGATCTAAAAATATTTTTTTCTGATTGACCTAATTGACTCCCTTTTAATAATCTTCCTATAAGGTTATATAGATCTGGTCAGGTATAAACCTCGATGCGAGTTCTTATAATCAATTCTAGGCATCTGTACATTTTCTAACCTCACTTTTCTGTGTAATGTCAGTCCATTTTATATAACTTTCGTAAGTCAGTAATGGGCCAGAGCCCTATTTGCACCTCCATAGCCCTCCCACGCCACGTCTACTTTCTGGCTCTCCATTTCGTATAAAACGATTTAGTGACCTCAGCTCGTCCATATAGTCTCGCAGGCCTAATCTTCAGTTCGGCTATTGACAGGTTTACAGGTACTTCTCCCTTCACGGTGCCGCTGGACCTTAAGGCCGTTTCTCTGTTCCTTCAGTCGTATCAATTACAGACTGTTTGTTTGTCTATAAAAATTCACGGTTTAAAATCTAGGCTTCCAGCTTTTTTATGTCATGTCAATGTAAAGTCAGTGTTCATCCGAGGGCACTGAAATGCTTTAAATGGTCCTTCGAGTCCTCTGGCTCTGGTCAGCTCGTAAAAACTCAGTGATTCTTTACATCACAAATACAGACTCGACTTTAGATAGATTCCGTGTCACTTCAGCAGGCCTTAGCACACAGCCAGAGTCATTTACTGACTCTGCAGATCTTCTATGTGTACCTGCCAAGTCTTTAAACATGTTGTCTCATCTAGATCGCCAGTTTGATGTCATGACTTGCCAACATATCTGTGTAAACTCCATGGGCTACTGCTTAGTTGCGCATAGACTCTCAGACACTTCTCCCTGACACAATACGGAGGAGGATTACCTGTCCCTTTTATTTGTATTGTTAGACTACTTGCTTATTAAAAATCAAGCATTATATAAATTCATAAATTGACCTTGGAGCTCAGTGAAAGACTTTATACGGTCCGTCGAGCAAAGCTAGCGTCGACACATTGTTCTTCGAAAGTCTCATATCGTTAAGAAAGGCTCGCTGACCCTCAACCCCGATTTACTGTCTCCTCGGCTGGCATTTTTAGACTCCTTACTTGCCGATAAAACTTCACTGGCACTTCTCAGTTTTAAAATGCTCCCGCAAATGGTCCTTCGACTTCATTTGAAATCCTCAAGTGTTCAGTTGACTGCAGGAAAAGTCATTGACTGGATATTCGACTGTTGTTAAAGACAATTTTCAGGATGCTTACAGGTCTATAAAAATTAATTCGTTGGAATACGGTCCTCCCCTTAAATCAGCCAGTAAAGACTGCAGTCAGATTGCCTAAAAAGACTCCCTTTCGAGATGTCTATCAACTCACCTTTAAAGACTAGCAATAATTCGCCTATAAAGATTCCCTGCCTCTCGGCTCATATTACAGACTCCCTGCTTCAGATCGTCTTTATCGGCTCAATACTTCAGTTATTATATAATAACTTCCTGCTTAATATCGCATATTAAGAATTTCTGTTTCTACTCGTCTATAAGTTCATCTATTCATCTATTAAGTCATTCTTATTCAGTGCTTATTCTATAAATCTCACTACTTTAAAAGTGGACCAATGTTGATCATTTTAAGTAGGAAGATTCTAAACCCATTAAAAACTCAAAGTACTAAAATACAACCAATTCGGTTGGAAAACATGTCAAAAAAAATCGCCAAAAAATACCGACGTGGACCAATATATAGCATTTTCAATACTAAACATTCTAGGACTAATAGTAATGCGAGTGCAAAATGTCAAAGCCCTAACTTAAACCTTGCGATCTCCATAGTGATTTCAAAAGACTGATGGACGCCCATAAATCGACATGGAATTTCATTCTGATCAAGAATATATAGTTGAGTTTAAAATATAAAATTCTTCACTTGGTCCTCTCATTTACAAAAAACATCTTTCACCTCAATTTCGTCTATAAATATATTCTCCAGCTCGCCTTTAAGGACTTCCTTCAGCTTTTATACATAAACTCCCTTCAGCTCCTATATCATTAGTTCATGTATAGACTACAGACTACTTCGTATATATCCCTTACTCATGTTAATCTTCTTAAACTACCTTATAAAGGCTGGCTTCAGCTTTTATACATAAACTGCCTTCAGCTCCTACATCATTAGTTGGTGTATAGACTACAGACTACGTCTACGTTATAAAGGCGGGCTCTAGCTTATTTATAAAGATCATAAAGTACACAATCTATTTCCACTGTAACTTTGAATCACTATTTTCGATATAAACTCAAAATTCGCTACTAAAAACTATGTCCCTTTTGCAACTGTAATTTTGAATCATAATGCTAGTGCTCCATACTAAAGTGGAAGTCATAAAAGCCCCTAAAACATACAATTTTTAAGAAACTTTTATAAGATAGGTATAATCTCAAAACTCACTACAAATTAAATATCCATTCTTCAACTGTAATTTTAAATCACCAACCTTCACAACGTTGATGCTCCATAATATAGTGGAGGTCATGAAAGCCTTTGAAACATACAATTTTAAAAACACTATTTTCGATATAACATCAATTTTCGTCAGATATCCATACTATTTCGCCTCCTGCCTTTCCATGTAATGTATATTTTAGTTTCTAATAAAAAAAGTAAAGAAGTTTGCTACAGATTTTATAAAATCTATTTCCAGTCATTCCATCAATGCCTTAAAAAATAATTAAGTAAAACCCACAGTTTTTTTCGAATCAACATCCCACATCTATTTTTTCGATTGCCATTGCAAATGACACATTCATTTCACTTCAAGCTAGACCAGAAAAATATCTCAAAGTGCCTCTTTGATTATGATTACTAATTTCCCCTTGAAGACAATTATTAAGACAACTTGTGTATTTATCAATTGCAGCTCTCTGATATCTCAACAACTTTAAAATGAAATCATCATTCTTCACACAGATATTTTATGTATATCCATAGAAGGCAAAAAGGCTTTAACCTTCACAACGTTGATGCTAAAAATAAATTTTTTAATAATGGAGATATTTGGATCAAATTTTGAGGAGGTCATGAAAGCCTTTTCAAACATACAATTTTAAAAAAATTACTATTTTCCATATATATAATTTTTTAATTTTTTTAAAGTTATACCATACAATATTTCGCCTCCTGCCTTTCCATGTAATGTAGATTTTAGTTTCTAATAAAAAAGTAAAGAAGTTTGCTACAGATTTTATAAAATCTATTTCCAGTCATTCCATCAATGCCATAAAAACAATTAAGTAAAACCCACAGTTTTTTCGAATCAACATCCCACATCTATTTTTTCGATTGCGATTGCAAATGACACATTCATTTCACTTCAAGCTAGACCAGAAATATATCTCAAAGTGCCTCTTTGATTATGATTACTAATTTCCCCTTGAAGACAATTATAATCCAGACAGACTTGTGTATGACGACGACGACCTCTGGGCCCAATTGCAGCTATCTGATATCGAACAACAACTTTAAAATGAAATCATCATCGGCACACAGATATTCCGCTCTATGTATAGGCAGGCGAGTCACATATGAAGTCGTTATTACCATAGAAGGCAAAATGGCTTTAAAAAGATTTACAACTCATCGACGACAACCACAAACAAACAACGCCTATTTTGAAGCCAAAAATAAAATTGATATGAAATTACATTTCAATTGTGGAAACCCAGCCAGCCACCAACCACCACCATTAAGGCAGGCCGACTAATGCCATTTAAAGAGACAGCTGCAAATGGTGCGCGTTAATAAAAAAGAAGAAGACAAAAATGTTGAAATAAGCAAAACCGAAAGAGACCTCCACATAAAAGAAGACTGTACTTTTACCATGGCAACGATATGCGAAGTTAATGCTATTTTTTCAAAAGAAAAAAAATATCTAGCCCAACAATACTCACTCACACCGGCAGTCAGGCAGCATGGTTATTAAATCATCAGGCCAACAACTGCTGTTCGTTCTGCTTCTAGCATTCTTCTATGACTCATCTCCATCATCGTTGAAACTCTTCGTTGTAGTTTTTCAGGGGGAAAATTTTCAGTCTTAAACAGTAAAAAAACATGTTTCGAAGTTTTTGGGGCATAGCATAGAAAAAAATATATTTACCAGAGATGCGGAAGTTGCAAATGGAAAAAATTTCTCTTTAATTACAAGGCACGACGATCTCTTTTTTTTCACATTGCTTTCACCAATTAGTTAGGCTGTTCCCCCAAAGAGGCAGTGGTAGAGGAGAGGTAGGGTCGTTTGGCCATTAGGTTATTGAACCCTTACCAATTGCATGCCACATGCAGAGCAGCGTAACAAAACTTCCTGATAGTTTTGTTTTAAAAATAGTTATCCAACCCCCCTTTATCTTTATGACAATTAAAAACACCAAAATAACTTTTTTTATAGATTTGCAATCATGTTCATGTTTGTTTTTTATTTTTTCTCAGTTTAGTCATTTTTTCAGCTTCATTTTAAAAAATCTTTTTTCGAGTGATTCGTCATAGTTAGGAAAAATTATGAAATAAACAAATTTTAGTTTTGTTTGTGGAATTCTTTTTTTGTTTGTTTACAAATAAATTTTCTTTCAGCTGAGGTTAGAATCTTCAATCTTGTTCAACGAATTTTGTGGGTCTGGCTGCTTAATATTCTTCAGCACCCTCACCTTCACCATCACCGGAATCCATACCGACTTCCTCGTAATCCTTTTCGAGGGCAGCCAAATCTTCACGGGCTTCGGAGAATTCACCTTCTTCCATACCCTCACCGACGTACCAATGGACGAAGGCACGCTTGGCGTACATCAAGTCGAACTTGTGATCGAGACGGGCCCAAGCTTCGGCAATGGCGGTGGTGTTGGACAACATGCAGACGGCACGTTGTACCTTGGCCAAATCACCACCGGGCACAACAGTGGGTGGTTGGTAGTTAATACCGACCTTGAAACCAGTGGGACACCAGTCAACGAATTGAATGGTGCGCTTGGTCTTGATGGTGGCAATGGCGGCATTGACATCCTTGGGCACAACATCACCACGATACAACATACAGCAGGCCATGTATTTGCCATGACGAGGATCGCACTTGACCATCTGGTTGGCGGGCTCGAAACAGGCGTTGGTGATTTCGGCAACGGACAATTGTTCGTGGTAGGCTTTTTCGGCCGAGATGACGGGGGCGTAGGTGACCAAGGGGAAGTGGATACGTGGGTAGGGCACCAAGTTAGTTTGGAATTCAGTCAAATCGACATTGAGGGCACCATCGAAACGCAACGAAGCAGTGATGGAGGACACAATTTGGCCGATCAAACGATTCAAGTTGGTGTAAGTGGGACGCTCAATGTCCAAGTTACGACGGCAGATGTCGTAGATGGCTTCATTGTCGACCATGAAGGCGCAGTCAGAGTGTTCCAAGGTGGTGTGGGTGGTCAAGATCGAGTTGTAGGGTTCAACCACGGCAGTCGAGACTTGGGGAGCGGGATAGATGGCGAATTCCAATTTGGATTTCTTGCCATAATCGACCGACAAACGTTCCATCAACAAGGAGGTGAAACCGGAACCGGTGCCACCACCGAACGAGTGGAAGATCAAGAAACCTTGGAGACCGGTACATTGATCAGCCAATTTGCGGATGCGGTCCAAGACCAAGTCTACAATTTCCTTGCCAATGGTGTAGTGACCACGGGCGTAGTTGTTGGCGGCATCTTCCTTACCAGTGATCAATTGTTCGGGATGGAACAATTGACGGTAGGTGCCAGTACGGACTTCATCGACTACAGTGGGTTCCAAATCGACAAAGACGGCACGGGGTACGTGTTTGCCAGCGCCAGTTTCGCTGAAGAAGGTGTTGAAAGAATCATCACCACCACCGACAGTCTTATCAGAGGGCATTTGACCATCAGGCTGGATGCCATGTTCCAAGCAGTACAATTCCCAGCAGGCGTTACCAATTTGGACACCAGCTTGACCGACATGGATAGAGATACATTCACGCTGTTAATGAAAAAAAACACAAAAATGAGGAATTAATATTAGTTTTATTTCAGAAAATAACAAAAGAAACCAAAATTGAAATCGAGAAAAAAGAAAACTTGGCGGATTCCTTTGAAAAAAAAAAATGTGACAAATTCTTTGCTTTTGCAGACGTCAACTGCAAAAAAAAAAAAATGACGTCATGCCAAATCGTGGTGGTGATTAAGGGTGCGGCCGGTTTTTTAAGAGGTAGAGAAAAAAAAGTAACACCACTTCGAGAAAAATGTGATTTTGTATAACACATAATTTGAGAATTATTCACAACCGGCTAAAATTTTGAATTTTTTTTTTAGCAAATTTTTCTTATCAAAAAATTTTTATGTTTTCATTTAAACTACAACAAAAACTATTGCAAAGAATTTTTTTACAAATGGCGACTGAAGCGGCTTATTGTACAAAATTACTTTCTCTTCTATGTCACACTCTTATGACTTCAGGAAATTTCCACCAAGTTTTTAATTCAATGTTTGTATTTTCTATTTTCTTCTTCACTTATTTTTTTTTAATTCATCACTTCAATCCATTTATTGAAACTTACCATTTTGAGTTTTTTGGTTTTTTAACAAATACACACAGAAAGTATCAAATTTGTGGTTTTACGTTTCAAGTTCGGAGCAGCCAGCTATGAAGCTTACCAAACTATGATATCGAATGATTTTTCTTGCCGCTTGTACTTGTATTTATATATGTGGATGACGCCTACTTTGTTTTTAACGAAGAATGAGAGAGCGAACTCAACGAAATGGTGTTGGGGTGTTGTTGTTGGTGGGAAATTAACGAAAAAATGCCGACCATTTGACGAAGGCAGGGAAAAGAATCTTAAATGTTGTCAGTACTGGTTTGGGAGTTGTATGAGATGAGTTGTATTCTTGACAGTCTTGTATGTTGTGTCGATAATGCAGTTTTAGGGTTGTATTTATATGATGACGAAGGATGGCAGGATTGCCAGGGATAGAACGTACTATAAGGGATAGTATTTATATTTAAAATATATTATTTAATTTATATTAAATATTCGATTTGTTTCCCTTTTATAGCTTTGTAATAATTTCATTGATAAACCAGCTTTGTTTGGCAGTTGATGATGAGTTGTATTCTTGACATTATTGTTTATTGAGTCGATAATGCAGTACAAGGTTGTATTTATGTGATGATAGATGACAAGATTGCCGAAGGAACATAATAGAAAAGTTATTATGTATATTTAATATATTTTGTAATTTATATTAAATATTAATTTTTTAATTATTTGTAATAATTCCATTGTTAAGCCAAAACAAATGAACAATTATTGGCAGTTGTCATTTCCAATTAGTAGATAAAACTGTTTCACTGTGCATTTTATTATGATTAGTGGTAAACGTAACCTAATACGGCATTTACATTAGAACTTTTTACCGGGTTAACCTACTTTATGAAGATTTACTTGGCATATATTCAAAGGAATTGATTTAAACCCACTGGGTAAACGTTAAATGTAAAGGTGTATTAATTCTGATTTTTGCATACTATTTATCGATTTGGTAAATCGAATAAATAGTATGAATAAATTTTTATTTATTTGAATACGACATTTTATATTGTTGTTAAATATTAATAACTAAATAAAAATATTTAGGGATAAATTTAGTTTTTGTCTGCATGGTAGATATATGTAATGATGGCATTGCCAAATACAAAAAAACTTTGCCATTCTCTTCGTACTTTTTTATAGCAAAAGAGAAACATGTCGAAATTGTTGAGAGTACATATTAATCACTTGTAAAAAATTCAAACATAGATGTCACTCCATCAAAAACTGCACACTTTCCGAAAACTTGTAGAAATTCACTCACACCATTTTGTCGATAATTGATAATAGTCGGTAAAACTGATAAAGAGGAAAGAGCATTGAGTTCGCCGGATTCGAACTGTTTATATCCGCGATTAATACCAAATCGTATTAAACTTTCACATAGAGGTTATTGTTGCGTTTAGATTTGCGAAATCCACTCGATCTCAAATGTCAATATAATCAACGGGATTTGTGAACATGATATGGAATTTACATTTATAACAGTAGTCTATACGCGAGTTAAAACCGGAAAACCATCTGCCTATGTCTCATACAGACATATTATTACAATTTTTTCATAATTTTACTTTTGACAACATTCAGCTTTAAAAATTTAAATGAAAATATCCTCCTTCGAAAAGTTATTAATTCAATATTTATAAACCAGTGAGCGGAGCATATCGTCCGACTGGACGGGGCCGAACGACAGAAAAAATTAGGTTTTCGGTCCACTTCATCCCAAAATTATTATCGGATCATCACCGAAAATTATAGGCGTTGTATTTGACCATACTTGGATCCTCATGGAAATTTTCAAAGCGATCAGCGCTATATTTTCGCCCTCTATTATTACCACACTAGAGGGCGAAATAATATCTGAATACCTAAGCACCTGTAAATATTTAAGTGTAACTCCCTCATCCGAGAACATACGACAATATAATCGGTATCAATATAAATGTCAACCAATCCTCTTGGATATGCTGTCAACTTCTTCAGGGGTAAATATATACGCCATAGAACACAAATTTTATCATTTTTCACACAAAAATCAGGGTCCATTTGTCCCGCTAAATATTGACCGATCGAAACTCTCATGCTTATTCTTTGGGCCGATCCCCTTTTCCATGTAAAATTTCGCGATGTTTTGGGGCCATAAATAAAGTTTTTGGTCCATTTCATTCTCTAAATATTAACCGATCTTTTCCAAAAACAATTTTGCATCCTACATGCAAAATTTCGTGAAGATTGGTCCATAACTGTGACCTGTATCGTGTTTAAAAATTATAATGGACGGACGGACGGACACACATGTCTACATCGGCTCAGCTAGTCGAGATAATGACGATCGGTATACTTAAAGGTGGGTCTAGGAACAATATTTCGCGGCGTTATAAACTCTTGGGGCTGCACAAAGCTATAATACCCTGACAACATAAAAAGGAGGTATTTATTTACAGAAGAGTAAATTTTTATTCGATGGAATTTATTTTTCAAACAATTTGAAAGGGTTGCCATTATTAATTTCTCAAATGAGACTGCCTTCTACAATAATGTCATGGGTATAATTATTACAAGGTAATGCAAAGCTACCAAATGATGGCATTTTTTTCTCAATGTGGTTTGTTCCCTCAAATCAAAATACATAGTCCTAATTTAGATTAGGCGAGTTTACTTGCGGCAAGTCTTTGACTGCAGGAGAGAGGGGCAATATATATGAAATATATACAAATTTAATTAAAATTAAAATTATCTTTTTAACGCGTCCGTCTGGAAGTATTTACTTTGTTTTGGATGAAATAAATATTTCAATATATTCTTTACAGGATTTAAGAAAGAAATCATAAACCTTTTTTCGCGTTTTTAGTTATGTGTTGAAAAAATGTGAAATCCACTTGTTCCGTATATTTATTTTATATTTGGCAGGAGTAGCCACCACCTACATAGTAGTTGTTTTTATTATTAAACTCAAGCTGCCCTACCTCGTACTATTGTACCATGGAATATACCATGTGTCTGTATATCTCTTAAATTTATAATTGTATTAACATTTGCCACTAAATCAGTGTAAGTACGCCCACCATTCCACTGTTCTTTTATCGATCTATAATGCCCTTATATTATTTCCTATTTTCGATTTTCAAAAACCTACAATACCTTCACAATTTTGTTTTGTTTCCCAAATTTTATCGTCTGTTTTCACATTCTTATAGTACGTTTACATTTAACCGGATTTTGTTAACCCAGTGGGTTTCAATTGTCAATTCCTTGGCATATATGTCAAATAAATCCTCATAAAGTAGGTTAACCCGGGGTTTTTTTACATTGTTGGTGATTGGGATTGGTGTTGAGAGTTTTTCTCTCTCTCTCTCATTGGTAAATTGCGAATTGAGTTGGAAAACATTGCCACAGGTAGGAACAAAAAAGTACGAAAAGATACCTAAAATTTTACTTCAAATGATAATAAAACATAAGTATCGAGAAATATTGGCCAATATTTATACCAGTTATTTGGCGTAAATGTATTCACGAATAATAAAAAAAACTCTCATCACCAATCCCAATCACCAACAGTGTAAAACCCCGCTTATTCGCAAAAAATACGAAACGAAGTGGAAAGGCGTCAGTGCAATCGCCATATTTTCACAAAAAGAAAACTGCAAGTGCATTTTACCAAAAAATACAAAAACATTTAACAGATCGCAACAATAATTGAATCCTAAAGATGACACTAACCAAAACCGTTGATCAAATGACAATTTTAAGTGGAGATCGCTCCAAGTAAGTAGATGTGGTATTCCGGCTTTCTTTTCTGGAAATCGACTGGATTTTCTTTCAGTGTCGTAAAGGGGAGAATCAAGTCCTTCATAGAATCCTCGAGTAGGTTTTACATACACATAGTACTTCGAATAGAGAAATGTATAGATTGATAGTGGCAAGATGACTGCATTAGCCGGTACGGTCCATGTAGGCCAAATATGAAATTACTGATATAAAGATGGAAGGCATCGACAATCAAATCTCTTTCCATGCCTCTTAAAATTCACGGAACAACTCTATAAAAAGATCAGATTTTTCTGAAATTTTTTTCCAGAGGTATTTTTACCCTAATTATGGGATTATACGGATATAATATTTTTTGTGTAGCCGGCCTCCTATGGACAGATACCTACATCGGCTACGCGACAGAATCTCTTTCTAAATAGAATTTTATTTTGTATAGCTGGTCTTCGGCCGGGGATTTAAGACTTTCTCCTATGGATAGATACCAACATCGGCTACGCGACAGAATTTCCTTGTTTTTGTAGGGTTCTAAGCCCAATATCTTTTGATCGACAACAGATACAGCCACATATCGCACCATTTTGGAAAGGGCAAATTGTGGTCTATAATTTGAGTCGAGATTGAAAATGGACTATATTGGACCCAAGTTCGACTTTTAGGGGGGTTTTCAATAAAATCGGGGAAGAAATAGAAACGTATTTTTATAACCTTTAAAATGATACCCAATTTATATTTACCGGATCCGTAGAAACGATTTTATCATTGTAATCAGGGTCTCCAGAAGTAAAAATTTCAAAACGATCCCCGGCCAGTCCTTCTATCAACCTTGAATAAAGGTATCTGTATCATAGTAGCTGATGATCTGACTTGCTGACAGTGAATGTAGATCATTATGAACTCTGTTCTTTGTTTATATTTGCAAGTTCTTACACTTTCTTGGTCCTACTGACTAACTATTTAATCGACTATTCTATCAACCTTGAATAAAGATATCCGTATCATAGTAGCTGATGATCTGACTTGCAGACAGTGTATGTAGATCATTATGGACACTGTTCTTTGATTATATTTGCAAGTTCTTACATTTTCTTGGTCCTACTGACTAACTATTTAATGAAGGTCCCTCCACATTCGGAGTATTTGTCATTGAATCCTTTTTTTCAAAAAATTAAATTTAAAGCCTTAAAGTTTAATTTAAAGCCTTAAATATTCAGACTATTACAAAAATATGTAAATAATTTCACTCATTTTCCATTTATTTCAGATTAAAAGATTTACTATGCAATCGTTTGGCTGAATGTGGATGGCGGGATGAGGTACGTCTGCTCATACGTGGCATTATCAAAGAGAAAGGTACAAATGTCAAAGTGGAACAGCTAATAACCGAAGTAACACCCAAAGCAAGAACGCTCGTTCCGGATGCTGTTAAAAAAGAACTCCTTATGAAAATTAAGGCCATTCTGGCTGCACAAGAAGGCATAGATTTATAATAGACATAGAGTCCAAACAAAATATATTTCTAGCTAATAAATTATGTAGTTTTTCTTATTAGAATTTTCAAAAAAAATTTATTAAAATTTCAAATTATAAAATGTTCAAGAAACTGAATTACATGTAATTGTATTTATTCTTGTCTCTCATTAGACAACAGAATTACACAGGCCACAATTGCTAACTGGGCACATTTTCATTTGCATATCATCACCCACACGCAATATGGCGGCCATACCATTTTCCGAATGTATCGAAATGTGACAGTGAATAATCCAATAGCCCGGGTTGTTTGTATAGAAACGTATTATCGTGTAGCCGTATGCTGGTACTGCAACAGTATCTTTGAGTGGTGCTTTTGTGGTCCTTCGCGGCAATGGGGTTTTGCGATCGATTTGTTCAATCTGAAAGAAAGAAAATTATTTTTTTTTTTTTGAAATATTTGAAAGTAATTTTATTAAAATTTATTTTTTGAAGGATCAATAATTTTGAAAGTCCTACCATTGACTTGCATTTTTTAAAGACCTACCATTTGCGTGGATTTTTTTAAAAATAGTTTTGTGTATTTCTTTAAGATTATAAGATTGGATTTAAAAAAAAATCTTTTGAAAATGCAACCGATTTGAAAGCGTGTCAAAAGCTTGAATTTTTAAAACCACATTTTAAACTTAAAAGCGCAGATTAAAAACCAGCAAGGAAAGTAGTAAAGTCGGACGAGGCCGACTATATGATACCCTTCAAAACTTTGGGTATATTCAACAGATGAATCCTAACAGACGTCGCATTTTTAAAAGACAATCCATAAACATTTCATTCTGCAACCGATACTAATTTTTTCATTTGGTCAGATATAGAAGCTATATCTAAATCTGAACCGATTTCCACGAAACTTGACACACATCATTCTATACCTAAATCGTTACGCTGTGCCAAATTTCGTGCAAATCGAAGGATATATAGAGACTTTGGTACACCATTTACCTTAAATCGGACGCAAATATATATGGGAGCTATATCTAAATATGAACCGATTTTCACCAAACTTAACACACATCATTCTATACCTAATTCATTACGCTGTGCCAAATTTCGTGCAAATCGAAAAATATATAGGGAGTTTGGTACACCATTTACAATAAATCGGACGAAAATATATATGGGAGCCATATCTAAATTTGAACCGATTTTCAGAAAACTTAACAAATTATTCTAGACCTAATTCAGTACGCTATGCCAAATTTCTTGCAAATCGAAGGATATATAGGGACATTGGTGCACCATTTACATTAAATCGGACGAAAATATATATGGGAGCTATATCTAAATCTGAACCGATTTTCACGAAATTTAACACACATCTTTCTAGACTTAATTCAGTACGCTATGCCAAATTTCATGCAAATCGAGGAATATATAGGGACTTCGGTGCGCCAATAACCTAAAATCGGACGCAAATATAAATGGGAGCTATATCCAATTTCAATAGGGCTCGTCCTTGGGCCAAATAAATGAGCTGTGCCAAATTTTATCCAATTGGAATCAAAAATGCCACCTGTACTTTGTTTACAATTTAACATGGACAGACAGACGGACGGACATGCATAATTCGACTTTAAAAGTGATTCTATGCATATTCTCAAAAGGAACCTTGTGTCTATTTCGTTTCCTTTTGCCTGTTACAAACATATGCACAAAGACATAATTTTTGGTGAAGGGTATTTTTTTATCGAACCTAAACTTGGATTTTTTTTTTAATTTTTTTAAAAAATATTTCTAGGGTCGAAATGTTGGATAAAAAAATATTTTAGGGTCAAAAACGGGGATTTTTTAAATTTTTTAACCTTTGATTTTTTTAAATATTTTCTAAGATAAAAATCGTTGATTAAAAAAAAATTAAGGACCTACCATGAGCTTGGAAGAAAAGTATTTGTAGAAAAATATTTTTTAGAAAAATCCTACAATAATCGTGGATCTATTTTCTAAAAATACATATTTTTTAACTGATTTCTTTTGTTAGACAACATAACTACAACTATTAAAGAAGTCAGACACCTTTGTCACGATATCTCTCATTGTTCGCCATTAACAACAACTAAACATTTTACATTACATGCATAGCATGCTTACCTTATCAATTTTATCTGGTCCCAATACACCCATACCGACCACTTCAAATGTAAAACCATGTAAATGTACGGGATGTGCGGTTACCGATTTTCCAGCTATAACCATTTCGATGTATTTAAATGCCGGAACCTGTATGACATTGGTACAGCGGCAATGACGTTTTTGACAATTGAATCCCAACGCTATTTGTTGGGTGCGATTGCAGAACCATTTACCAATACCCAGATTACGAGTTTGCAGCAGAGATATTTTTGGCATTGTAAAGGAGATATCGTCCATTTGAAAGATGTAAGTTTCACCACGTTTGATAATATTCATGCTGGTGTAATAGGTACGATAGGGTTTACCCGCCATTGCTTTGGAATATGACTTCGGTATAATACCCTTAACCTCCATGAAACTGTAACGTTTGTGTAGCTTTGAAGGGCTAATGTCCATGGAATTGAATGTAACTGCATTTTGAGTTTCATAGGTGTAGGAGGGTGCGGGGCCCTTGGGCATTTTTAGACGATCCGCACCCATATAATGCAATATGGCTTCCTGATGTAATTCATGGATTTCACAGAAGTTGTGGCCCTTTAAACGTATCCAATAATTAGCCACAGCCTGATTAGCTTGCAGCACAAAGTCATGGCGTTCTCCTCCATGCAAAGTGATATTTTGTACCATCACCGGTTCAATGTCATTACCATCACTTGCAATTACGAGCAGATCATGCTGATCGATGCTAAACGAGACGGGACAATTGGTGTTGCCATTGAAGATAACCCTAAAACGATAACGCCCACCCTTGGCCACCTCAAAGCGGGCATAGAGTGTGGGTTTTGCTGGCATCGTCGCATTGACATTACGTCCCAAACCATTGATGAGAATACTCTTGGCTACCGATTCATCAAAATCACTCATCCAATCCTGCAACATAATAATATGTTCGGTATAATCGAAATCATAGAGATGGCCATGGGGATTCTCTTTTCGGGGCTGACGCACCACCAACGGCCCGGCTAAACCAAATGCCCGTTGATGTTCGGTATGACTGTGCCACCAATGTGTACCCACGTGATCTGCTTCGAAACGATAACGAAATGCCTGTCCCGGTTCGATGGGATATTGTGTGATATATGGCACACCATCCATATGCGGGGTATTTATCTGATGCATTCCATGCCAATGGATGGTCGTAATTTCGTGCATGCTATTTATTATGTCCGCAACAATGGTGTCGCCAACACACGTTTCAATGGACATGCCTGCCGGAGAGGAAAGGGGAATTATTAAATTAAACTAAAATAATCATTTTCAAAGGCCCGATGTTGTTATTTAAATATTTGAAAAAAGGGTCTGGTAGGTGAGTGGATTTTTTACAAAATATTTTTAAGGGTCCAAAATTAGTTATGAATCCTTCATAAACGCCCAGACGAAACGACTGAAGCTAGAATATTGAACTTTTGGGTGAGGGTCATTCTGGGTCCAAATGTGACAATAAGGCTGGGTTTTTGGAAATTCGTACTAGAACGGTACGAAAAGTAGTAGTAATACCATTTGTATTTGGCGAACGGGTAGAGCTTGAACTCTTACATTTTAAATGAGGCCCACAGATGGAGTGTCGAATAGATATAGGAAAGTGTTTTCTGGACATTCGAACTACTAAGTATTCGAAAATTACTAAAATGTACTAAATTTGGTACAATTTCGTAGCATGTGAATGAATCGAGCTGAAAACCGTGAAATTTGGAATGCGAATTAGGGTTGAGATGTCGGGTCGATATAAGGAGATGGTTTTGAAAGAGTGTACTCATATATATGAAAAGTACTACTATATGTTACTATATTTGGTACTAATTTAATTTTTGGACATACAAATCAAGGTGGAATCCTGAAATATGAAATTAATATTACCATTCGGAGTGTCGGATTGGGATACATACATAGTTTTTGAAATTTTTTACTTATGTGTATGAAAAGTACTAAATCGTACTATACAATTGGTACAATTTGGATTTGAGCCGATAGAGCGGAAACAATGAAATTTAAAGTCAGGATTACTGTAGGGGTGTAGGATTGGGGTCAGGAATTTATGGGTACTAAATTGTACTAAATTTGGTACAATTTGAATTTTAGGTGAACCAATAGAGCTAGATTCATGAAATTTGGAGTCAGGATAACTGTTAAGGTGTAGGATTGTGGAATGGAGGAAGTTTTAAAAATTTTTACTAATGTGTACTAAATTTGGTACAATTTGGGGTATGTATGAAGTTTTGGAAATTGGTACTACTGTGTACATAATTTGGTACAAATTGAATTGTGGATGGACCGGTGAGTGGATTGGGGATTTAGGATCACTATGGAAGTTTTTTTTTATGAAATTGGGAAAATTGGTACTAATTTGGTACAATTTGAATTGTGGGTGAACCGATAGAGACGGAATCCTGAATCTTGGATTTATGATCACTATGGGGGTGTAGGTTTGTGGTATGGAGGAAATTTTGAAAATTGGTACCAATGTGTACTAATTTGGTACAATTTGAATTGAGGGTAAATCGATAGAGTTGGAATCCTCAAACTTGGATTTAGAATCACTGTGGGTGTACGTTTTGAGTAAGAAGGAGGTTTTGGAAATTCGTTCTACAGTGTACTTAATTTGGTATAATTTTAATTGTGGGTGACAATTTAAATTGTTGGTGAGCCAATAGAGTTGGAATCCTGAAATTTGAATTTGGAATCATTGTGGGGGTGTAGGATCGCGGTATGCATGAAGTTTTGTTGGATGGTTGAAGAGGGTACTTATGGAAATAATGTGTGCTAAATGGAAAATTTTGATTTGGGTGAACCTTTAGAGCTCGAATCATGAAATTTGATACTAAATGGTACTCAAATTTAATTTATGGTCGATATTAATGTGTGGATTGTTTTTTCTGACATATGCAGTTTGATGTGAAAATAAAATAATATGTTAAACATGTTTAAATATTCCCTACATTCGCTAAGTTGAAGTTGCGAGAATATGCTAGTATTCTATAAATTAAATACTCCCTTTTATCTTTCGATCATTCTCGAACTTACCCGGCAGTTGACCATTCACCACCATAATTTCACTGCGCACTCCATCGGCATATTTACAATCATCAAATTTCCTGCTGCTGCCGCTGTTCGATTTTATATTTTGCATATTAATATATTCACGATTGCCATAACGATAACGATTTTGTGGTTTCAAATATTCATCACAACCCGGACCCATAGTTTCGTCATAGTGTACGACCATATAATAATAACAGGTCATATGCTGATTGGGAACACATTCCCGCTTACAGGGGTGATCTTGGAAATTATCACTGCGTGCCATACGCCAAAATCTCGCTTCACCATGTTGAGAAATTTTCGGATAGAGCTGGCGTATGTGGGCGAAACGTGTGAGGGTCTGATTGGCGTAACCTAAGGACAGATTTAGTTTTATTTTTAATATATTTTAAACTTTCTTCAGAGGCTATAACTACCTTCACATTGCGTTAATTTCACCCGAAAAATTACAATTATCACCAATATCACAATAAAACCGTAACGGGACTTAACCCAATTTTTCATTTTATTTTTTCTTTTTTTAAATACTTCACTATGTGTTTTTTTATTTTTCTATTATCAATCCACTTGAAAGTTCCCAAGAAAACTGCAAAGTGAAGAAAAAAATCGGCAAACAATATATATTTCCCGTTTCCCGTTAGATGTGCGATCTCGGTTCGTTTTCAGAGAGTAACTACCGCCCCATTTCTTTTGTTCAAATGTGCAATTTCCAAATGTCTTGTACCGATCGCCGACGACACCGACGATGATGATGAATGGGAGATACCATTAATTACCATATCTTTTTCCAACACATTACAAAAGTAATTAGATGTTACGGAGAAATATCTGAAGTTGCTCTTATCTTTCGTTGGTGAGAAGTTAACGAGAACGACATTGGCCTTCATATCCAGATCTTCTGCAGGGGTATTGATGAATAATTATGTGGTATGTATTTAATATTGTTAATGTTCTAAAAAAATGTTGATATGTAAGGGGAGATCAATGAATGCCAAAATACATGGTTTCACCCACTTTTATGTATGGACCTTGAAAAAATATTTTTAAAAAAATCGTGTCAACCTAATGTCTTTAATCAGTAAATAAAACACCACATTAACTTTCGGTTATATATATTTTATAATATTATTTTTTTACATAATTTTTTGTTTTTTCAATATTTTTTTAAATATTATTCACATTATTAAAACAAATTCTATTTTAAATTATACACAATTACACAAAAAAATCACAACTAATTAAAAAAAACACTAATCATAACGGATTTTACAAAATATATTTAAATACAATGATACGAAGTAAAAAATAAATTATAAACAAATAAAATTACTATACAAAATTATTTGTGGGGATGGTTGTGTGTGTGTGCGGGTTTGGATGGTTGGTTGGTATTTTACTTATCTATATAAAAATTACATTACATTGTTGAATAACATTTCATTATTATTTTTTTTTTATTAAATACAATAATTATTGTGGTTGTTGGTTGGGTATTTTTTATTATTAATGCTAGTTTTTTTTATTATTATTGAATAAAATTTAAAATAGAGGAGGAACAAGGTTTGCGGATTTTAATTTTTATTTTCGTTATGGGAAAATAAGGGATTTCCTTTGTGTAGTTTTTTTTTTTGAAGTACTTAACGGAACTCAAAAGACCCTTCTGAAAGTTTGTTTTTTATGTTTTAGTCATTTTAAGGCCCTATGGGCAGCATTACGTATTCTGTTAGGTGTACAAATTATTTCCTCTAACCTCTAGCTACAAGTTTGTCACACACAGGAAAACAAAATGCCAAATGTTTACAGAGATATAGACCCGATTATTACAAGAAAATATTGGAAAAAATTAAAAATAGTAGAAAAATATAATTTTTCAATTTAGCGAAGCTAGCAACACGATCTTTTAAATTGCCCCTTTCAAAAATGTATTCTCCTAATCTGAAGCTACAATTATGCCAAAGACGGAGATATTAAATTCGTATCGGTTTCGGAGATATGGACCACAACAAATTTGATTTCTTTAAAAAAAAATCAAAAAATTGTTTAAACGTGTTTTTTATCATTCAGCATTTTTAAGGGCCTATGAGCAGGATTTCGACTTTGTTTGTGTTTACAAATCATTTCCTCTAGTCTCAAGCTACAGGGTTGGCAAACACAGGAAAACAAAATTTTAATTGGTTCCAGAGATACAGAACCCAAAAGAGAATAGTATTTTGGAAAAAAACATAAAAAATAATGAGAAGTAGAATTTCAAAGTTTAGAGGTCCTAGAAGCGATAATTCCGAGCTGGCCTGTTTAGCATTTTTGTTCTCCTGGCCTAAAGCAACAATAATGTCAAAGACGGAAACAAGAAATTTCAATTGGATCCGGAGATAAATACACCAAAAATTAATAGTATTTTGGAAAAAACATAAAAAAATATAGTGAAAAAATAATTTTAAAGTTTAGAGGTACTAGAAGCTATATTTTCGGAATGACCTGCTTTCCATTTTTGTTCTCCTGGCCTAGAGCTACAATATGGTCAAAGACCGTAATAAAAAATTCCAATTGGTTCCGGTGATATTTAACTGAGGCAAATACGTTATTCCGAAAAACAATCACAAATAGTTAATAATTACAAGTTTTACTATTTATCGATTTTCAGCGCTTAGGAATAACTCCGAGATGACCTGTTTAGCATTTTTGTTCTTCTGGCCTAGAGCTACAATAACGTCAAAGACGGAAACCAGAAATTCCAATTGGTTCCGAAGATATATGACTTAGGAAAATACGTTATTCCGAAAAAACAATTACAAATAGTAAAAATATACAAGTTTTACTATTTAGCGATTATGAGGGCCTAGGAACAGGATTTTGACTTCGGTTAGCTTCACAGATTATTTCTACTACTTCTTAACTACCGATATATCACTCACAGGAAAACAAAATACCAATTGGTTCCAGAGATATAGGCCCAAAAAGTAATATTCACTTTGAAAACTTACTAAAATAATGACAATACAATTTTGCTGTTTAAAGAGCCTAGAAGTGATAATTCCGGGATGACCTGCTTGGCGTTTTTGTTCTGCTGGCCTAGAGCTACACTAATGTCAAAGACCGAAACCAGAAATTCGAATTGGTTTCGGCGATATATAACTGAGGCAAATTCGGCAAAAAATCACAAATAGTAAAAATATATACGTTTTACAATTTAGCGATTTTGAGGGCCTAGCGGCAGGATTTCGACTTCGATTAGATTATGAAATTATTTCTACTACTTCTTAACTAAAAATATGTCTTTCACAGGTAATCAAAATATTAATTGGTTCTAAAGAAATAGACTCGAAATATCACAGAATTATTTCATAAATTTTAAAAATAATTAAAAACGAAATTTTTTAATCTTCAGGGGATAGAAAAGATTTTCTTCTAGTTTTTTTATGAACTATTTCAAAAATTTATTTTCCTAGTCTTAAGCTACAATAGTGTCGAAGATGCAAACAAAAAATTCCAATCGGTTCCGGTGATTTCACAGTGAAACAATTGTTCATTAAAAATAGTGTAAAATACAATTTTGCAGATTCGAGGGTCCAGAAGTAGGATTTCCTCCCTGATCCGTTTTTAACCATTATTCTCCTAGTCTCAAGCAACAATATATAACCGTAAACAAATTTCATTAGCCTTGAAAAGTGACATAAAGTGTGAAAAGTTATAAATTTTAACATTTTGACAGATTAGAGGTCTTAGGGTCAGGATTTTGATTTGTTTCACAATTTTTTTCTTCTAGTCCTCAGCTACAATTTTGCCCATGACAGTAGAACAAAATATCTATTAGTTCCATGAGATAAAAGCCCATACAAATAGTATTATTTTTGAAACAATATTTAAAGTATTGTGAAATACAATTTTGCAGTTTCGAGGGTCCAGAAGTATGATTTTCTAGATGGTCTATTCTAAGCATGTATTCTTTTAGTCTAAAGCTACAATAATGTCAAAGACCGAAATAAAAAATTCCAATCGGTTGCCGAGATATAACAGTGAAGCAATTTCATTATCGTTGAAAAGTGACACAAAATGTGAAAAGTTATAATTTTTAACATTTTGGCAGATTAGAGGTCTTAGGGTCAGGATTTCCACTTTGATTTGTTTTACAATTTTTTTCTTCTAATCCTTAGCTACAAGTTTGCCGAAAGCAACAGAACAAAATATCAATTAGTTCCGGAGATATAGATATGAAAGAATATGTGAAATTTCTGAAAAGGTATTAAAACTTTGAAGAATATTAAATTTTAACATTTTATCGATTTTGTGGGCCTAGAATCCAATATTGGGAATCTATTACCATTACACATTTAACCTTCTAGTCCCTAGCTACAATTATGTTAAATACACAAACGACAAATTCCTTATGGTTACAGAGATAGATCCTAGAAATATGTCATTCTCAAGAATAAAATTAGTTTAACAAAGAAAAGGGAGTTTCAAAAATCGAAAGGGTGTTGTTTAACAAGGTACTTATTAGTTCCGCTAGTTACTTCAAAAAATACTACAATGGAGAAATATGTGTTTAAATTTCTTTGTATTTATACCTTAGCTAATTGATTATATTTATAGGTTATGTTATATGTTTAAAGGTGTATGTATGTGTGGAACGGATTAGAAATAATGTGTTGAATTATTTAATTTGGTTTTGAAATGTAAACATTGATTTTTTTTGTTTGTTTAAAACAATTACATACACACACGCAAATATTAGTACATAAAACGTACCAACTTTTTGTTGTTTTTAATTTTTCTTTTTTTTTCTTCTAAGTTTAACATAACCTCAATGTGTTTTCTTTTCTATTGTGTTTTTATTTTTCTTTTTTAATTATTTAATAACGAATCTATTGAAAAATCTGTTCTCATCTTATTTATAGATTCATCGTTATTATTGTTATTATTGTTGTTGTTTATATTTAATTCGGTTGTTATTGCGGTTAGCTCTTCTTGATGGGTCTTATTTGCAGCTGATGTTGTTGGTACAACCTCTGATGATGTTGTTGCTGGTATCTGCTGTTGTTGTTTCAATTTATTACGAGATTTTCGTAAAAATTTGGTTGAAATATTAAATTTTCCCGGCTTGTGTAATAAATGCATTTTGCTTGCATGACGGAAACTACGCAACTCCGCCAAAGAGTTACCGGATTTTTCCATTGCCAAACGATGTAAGCTGGCCACTGCTGATGATGAAGAGGATGGTTGTTCCATTTCCAATGTATGGCCATTATCAGCTTCCTCCTCCTCGTCGTCATCATCATCATCGTCGTCTGCATTCAATGGCGTCTGTTGATTGGCATCGAAACTTTTTAAAAATCGTTGGACCTGCTTCAATTGTTTTTTCGTTTGCGATTCCAATTCATTTTGTTGTTTTTTGATTTTCATGGCAGCGTCATTTTCATCTTCGGCTTCATAATTTTCCGAATGCCTTGATGAGGAAGTGGTGGTTGTGGGTGTTGACGACGAATCACTGTCGCTATCATTTATGACAACGGAATTTTGAGATTTCTTTTCAATATTCGTGGATATTTTCTTTTGATCGGAAGTGGAGGAAATTTGATTATTGTTGTCCCCAACTTCTCCTGCTGCTCCTCCTTCATCCTTGTCGTCATCATCGGATGATAAATTAATAATTTCATTTGTTTTCAATTCTAAATGGGATCGTTTGTTCTGGGTTTTATTATCGTCTTTTATTTTTTGTGGGGTTCTCCTTGTTGTGGTAACACCTTTGTCGCAATCGTCTTTGTTGTTGTTGTTGGTGTTAGTACATTGTTTCGCCTTTTTTGCTTTCATTTCATGTGAGTATAAATTTCAGCTGGCCTTTGGTATGTTATCGTCTCGTCTTAGATGTGACTAAATTTGCGGATTTAGGAAAAAGATAAAGGAAATGTTAAATTAGTTTTGAATTTGAAAAAAAGTTTAAACTTATACATAAGCAGGGCAATATTAGTTAAACTTTGGAACATAAATATTTTAATAATTATAAAAAAAAAATATTTATATTATTTTTTCTATTTTGCGTTTTTAAAGGCCTAGGGGCAGGATTTGGAATTTGGTTAGATTTACACATAACTTCTCCCACTGCTTAACTAGGAACATGACACTAACAGGAAAAAAAATAGCAATTGTATCCCGAGATATAGACCCACAAAGATGGTAGTTTTATGAAAACAAAAATGAAAAAAAGAGAAAAATATCATTTTGCAAATTTTCAGGGCCCAGAACCCAAATTTCTGATATACTATGTTTTGTATTTTTGTTCTGCTGGTCTAGAGCTACAAAAGTTGCAGGAACTAAACAATTTTGTATTTTAGAGGATCCAGCCACGACTTTTCCGGGATGGAGTGTTTTACACATTTGTTCTTCTGGTATAAAGCTACAATAATGCCAATGACATATACAATAAATTTCTATCCTACAAAAATATATTATTTTGAACATTCAGGGTTTTAAAGGCTAGAGACGCAATTTTCGCGGATTCGAATTTAAAAAAAAATGTTCTAAAAGTCAATAGCTAAAAAATTATTAAAGAACGCAAAACAATATTCCGAACGGTTTCCAAGATATAGCCCATAACTAAATACTATATTTTTAAATAAAATCAAAATTCATGTTTCTTCACATTGCATTTTTGTTTGTTTGTTTTGAGGTATTCGATTAAATTTTTCCGGGTTCGTATATTTTACAAAATTGCTCTCCAAGACAATAGCTATCAATTTGCCACAGACAAGAAATCAAAATTTCAAATGCATTTCGAGTTACTATCCTTAATCGAATACTTTTCTTTAACAATAAGAATCAAAATCCAATTTTTTACATTGCAATTTTGTTTTGACAATTTTGAGGTATTAGACGAAGTTTTTCCGGGTTCGTATATTTTACAAAATTGTTCTACTAGTCAATAGCTATCAATTTGCCAAAGACAAGAAATCGAAATTTCAAACGGGTTTCGAACTACAATCCTGAATTAAATGCATTACTTTTAAATAAAATCAAAATTCCTATTTTTACATTGCAATTTTGTTTTGACAATTTTGAGGTATTATCCGAAGTTTTTTTTAATATATTTTACAAAATTTCTCCAAGTCAATAGCTATAAATTTGCCATAGACAGTAAAACAAAATTTCTAACGATTTCTGGTCTAACATCCTAAAACAAATATCACCTATGAAGAAAATCGAAGCCTACACCATAGGTTTACAAAAAAATATAGCTTGCAATGTTAACAGAAATTTTGTTCCAAAACATAACTTACAACTAACTTTTATATATACTTATATCTAATAAAACGTATACAAATCCATTATACAATTTTATTTTACAAAAATATGTATGTTCCAAAGAGTAATTATTTTTTAACAATTTTTTGATTACATATATACATACATTCACATACAATTTATATATATATATTTATTTGATTATTAACTAGTTAATATAGCTGGTTGGTGGGGGAAAAAATGAGGGAATTACAATATTTTGTTTGAGGGGGGTTATTTTTTCGATTTTTGTTTGCATGGTGAGTGGTGGTGGTAGAGGTGGTTGGTTGGTTGTTTGGTGGGGTCTATATGGTGATTGAATTGAACTGGCGGTCAACAATGAATATGAATTAAATTTTCTTTTGTTTCAAAAGGGTCCAAATTGCAGATGATAGATGAGACAACACATACATACATATATGTACAGACATACAAACACAATAAAGTAAATTACGCGGATTAACGAAAGGGAATGTCAAGTTGGCTGACGATTAAAAACTTTCGTTAATTTTTTTTTTTTTATTCTCAGTAATTAAAAATAACAATAACAAATAACTCTCTCGCTTAAAATGGTGATTGAAATGGCGCCCAACTTAAAACATGGAAAACAAAATACAAAACGGCCATGGCCAGCCAATGGAGAATATGATTTTGAAAATATGGATGGTAATGGATGGAGATGTCATGAAACAAGCATGAATTTTTAGATGGAATGATGAAAAGTGGAGAGAGAGAGCGAGCTAGAGTGGGTGACACATGTGAAGAGAAAAGAAACAACTTAGGCGCTTTTTTGTTGTATTGTTGTTGTTTTTTGTTTTTTGGTTATCAAACTACCTGCATATGAGGTTTATAAGACCCTGGATAATTTGCGGCAGCGTTGGCAGTAGAAGAAGAAGCAGAACAAGAAGTAGAAAAACCCTTCGAGTAGGAGGAAGTATTAAAATTTGCACCAATGCTACCAGCACCATGATGACCAGTATGATGATGTTGGTGGTGATGGTGTTGGTTGTGGCTTTGAGAAGACTTGGTCAAACTAAGAACACCGCCACCACCACCACCTTGGAGTTGTATTGAACCACCAGCACTACTAACACCAGCAGCAGAAGTTTTTATATGACCATCACCATCATTCATAATTAAAGAGGACGAAGTAGAAGAAATATTAGAAGAAGCAGACGAATTGATGATGGCATTGGTGGTGGTGGCGGAATTGTTGTTGGTCGTTAATGGATGGTGGTAACCGCCGACGCCGCCTACGCCCATGCGATTGCCACTAATATTAGTTGGTGGATTTAGACAATTAGTATTTGTGGATAAATTACCTCCAAGGCGCGAAGATGTTGACGACATGGGATGTGGCAGCGTTTGTTGCGGCTGCTGAACCGAGGACGACAGTGCGTTGGAGGAAGAGGAGGTATTATTTGATGAAGATGACGATGAGGTTGTATGGGACGATAGGTGCGTATGATGCTGTTGCTGGTGCAATGTGGTGCCATGTTGTTGTTGTTGCAAATGCTGTTGTTGATGGTGTTGTTGCGGTTGTGGTTGCTGCTGCTGTGGAGGCAGTGGTGGCGGTGGTGCATGATGCTGTTGGTGTGACAGATGCTGTTGTTGCTGCGCCTGGTGCTGCTGCTGTTGTTGCGTTTGCATATGCAAATGTTGTTGATGATGTTGTTGTTGTTGCTGCTGCTGGGCCATCATCGTTGATGAGCTAGCATTACCCAGTGGCATATTATTAAGCATTTGGGCATTGTTGGAATTATTATTGCTGCTGCTATTATTTGGTGGTGGTGCTACTACTGCTCCTGGCGCTGCAGTTGGATGATGTCTACTATATATGTGTTTTTTTTAGGGTCACAATGGTTTAATACAAATATACATAACATAGAAACGAGAGAGCATTATTAGTTTTCAAAATGTTTTCGATTTTTTTGCAGAATAAAATCAATCACACGTTATTTGTTTTTTTTTTCGGGAGTTAGTGGGAAGGGACCAAAACAAGGGAAAATGTTCAATGTTCGGAATGATATTTATCACAGAAGGGTTAGATAGCTAATAGGGGTGGGGTTTTGTGGTGGTGGGATATATAAAAAATTATTTTTTAATTAAAAAATATATTACCAGCTGAATTGTATGTCCAAACAACTTACCCAATTCCACTGCCATGGCCAGCCGAGACTATTGCCATTGGATTGTTGGTTGCGCCAACATTTGAGCTTTGACGAAAATCTAAACCATTTTCTAGGTTGTTGTTCGTATTTGATCTATTTCTTTCCATTGATGTCGGACCTCCCGATGTAGGTGGTGCTGCTGCTGGTGGTTGTGGCCCTGAGGTTGGCGGCTGCCTTGATGTACTTGAGGATGTTGTGCCCGACGATATTGATGTCGTTGCGGCAGTGGCCAATGATGCTGCTGTGGCCAGTGAAGAAGCTGTTGATGTAACACTTGTATTCGACGAGGATGTCGAATGATGACCTGTTGTTGTTGCTGCTGCTGCGGAACCACTGTTATTATTGCCCTGTTGAGCCGCTGTTGCAGCTGGAAATTCATAAGTACACATAAAAAATGTGGGGAGTGATTTTATGATTTCTTAATGTAAATTTCCTTAATTTTTAAAATGAATGGTGTTATGATCCCCCTCACCATTTGAGAAAAATAATATTGTACCAAATGTAATCATTTTTTGAACAATTCACAATTTCCTCATCAATGAAAGTGCATTTATGGTCGTCTTACCACCATTACTGAAATAATTACAACAAATGTTTGAAAAAAATCAACCATAACCTCAAAATTTATTTTTTTTTTATTAAATTCGAATTTTTTGAACTAACTTTAATATAAAATCACATATTATATACATCTGTTAATTTGTAAAATAAATCCGAAACCCCAAATTGACGAGATATGGGATTTTAATAAATTAAATAAATCGACATAATAGTTTTCAGATATAATATTTGCATTTTTGTTTGGGCTGTTTTGAGGTATTTGAATTAGTTTTTTAAGTTCGCATATTTTACAACGTTGTTCTACAAGGCAATAGCTATCAATTTGCCAAAGGCAAGAAAACAAAATTCGTAACGGTTTGTGAGCTACTACCCTGAACCTAATACAATATTCTTATATTTTTATGTATAAAATAAAATCGAAATGATTGTTTTTCATTGATATTTTGTTGAGGCTATTTTGAGGTATTAGAAGTAGTTTTTCCGGGTTCGTATATATTACAACATAGTTCTACAAGACAGTAGCTATCAATTTGCCGAAGACAAGAAAACAAAATTCCGAACGGTTTCCGAGCTACTACCCTGAACCTAATACAATATATTTTTAATAACATCAAAATACTTCTTATTTACATTGAATTTTTGTTTAGGCTATTTTCAGGTATTAGAAGTAGTTTTTCCGGGTTCATATATTTTACAACATTGTTCTACAAGGCAGTAGCTATCAATTTGCTGAAGACAAGAAAACAAAATTACAAACGGTTTCCGAGCTATTACTCTAAACCTAATACAATATTTTTAATAAAATCAAAACTCGTGTTATTTACATTGCATTTTTGTTTGCGCTATTTTGAGGTATTAGAAGTATTTTTTTCGGGTTCGTATATTTTACAACATTGTTCTACAAGTGAGTAGCTATCAATTTGCTGAAGACGAGAAAATAAGATTCCGAACGGTTTCCGAGCTATTACTCCAAACCTAATACAATATTATTTTAATAAAATCAAATTTTGTGTTATTTACATTGCATTTTTTTTTTGGGTTATTTTAAGGTGTTAGAAGTAGTTTTTCCGGGTTCGTATATTTTACAGAATTGTTGTACAAGTCAATATCTATAAGATTCCGAACGGTTTCCGAGCTATTACTCTAAACCTAATACAATATTATTTTAATAAAATCAAATTTCGTGTTATTTACATTGCATTTTTGTTTAGGTTATTTTGAGGTATTGGAAGTAGTTTTTCCGGGTTCGTATATTTTACAACATTGTTCTACAAGTCAATAGCTACCAATTTGCCAATGACTTGAAAACAAAATTCCGAACGGTGTCCGAGCTGTTGCTCTTAATCTAATACATTATTTTTTTTAATAATATCAAAATTCGTGTTAAAATTCCCCAGCAATTCAAAATCACATTCTCTAATAACATCGAAATTGGTGTGCGAAAAAATAAATTGGGATTGGGGGATATTATATACATATAATAAAGAACACCATAAACCAATATATATGAATTATCGAATATAGTTTGGTGGTAAATAGTAGAAATATCCAACAGCCAATACAAAATGTAGGAAAATCATAGACAGGATGATATGTGGCCAAGTGAGTAGAAATAAAAATAACAATTTTTTTAATTGACTTTTTTTGTTTGAAATAATTATTTATTTTTTTATTGACATAAAATAGTTGTTGTTTTCTTTTTAACTAAAATAATTTTTTATTTATTTTTAAAACAAATAAAAGGTATTTTCATTTTTTCAGTGGGAAAATTATAAAGAAAATAAACTAAATACATATGTATATATAAAAAAGAACTTAGGTAATAAAATATATATTTTTTAATTTCATTCAAATTTGAAGAAAATTAGAGTTGACAAAACATTGAATTTGTTTAATAAAATATATATAATAATAGTAATTAATAACAAAATTTATAAATAATGCCATGGTAATAATTAATTTAAATTGTGTGTTGGGTGGCGGGGTAGGTGGTTTTATTATTTATTTTTGCAATTTTACAAAGAAAATGTGAAGAATTTGAAATGGTAATAAGATGACAGGCAGGGCGCAGCATGAAAAATGAAATTTTAGAAAACAAGTTTTTTTACACTTAAAATATAATTTCGTTTTAAAAAATAATTATATGATAATTATTTAAAATAGAATATATGTATTTACAAATGTTATAGAATTATTTTTTTTTTAATTTAATTTTTAGTTTGTTATAACTTATTAATAACATATAAAGAAAATATAGAAAGTAAAGTACGTAGGATGTGTTTTTTGGGTGGGTGGTAATAAAGAAAGATATATTTTTTGATATTAAGTATAATTATAATTTTTAAATATTACTTAAAAATTAGAATATACCTAATGTTTAATATTTGAAAAATATATATATTTATAGTTATAGGTTATAATATTTGTACGTTTTGTAAAATAAACTGACTGTTTAAAATTTTAGGATAATATATTGATTACTTGTTGGATTGGTGTCACACTAACGAAACCAAGCCACAATATTCCAAATATTCATATATACCAAAAAAAGGATAGCAATTCTAGTAATAGTAGATTGTACAGACAGAGAAGTGTTGATGGGTGGGGATAATTTTGAGAAAGATTTTGTTCCATTTCCTTATCCATTTACCATACCCCAGGTTTTTCAAAATAGATTTGTCTCCTCTTTTGCATGCATTTTTTGTTTTTTATTGGAGTCAAGGATGATTTTCAATTTGGTGGATGGTGATTGGGTAGTTGTGGTGGTATGGATTGGTGGTGGTGGTGTTTTTTTGTTGCTTGGTGGGTGACTGATTCGGTCGATTTTATGTTGTGCTCCAATTTGCAATTTGCTTCTCATCACTACTTACCTTGTGTCTGTGTTGTATTGGTGGTAGCATTTAGGGGTATGGCCAAGCGGGCATTGACAGCCAACAAATGATCGCGACGTGCTATTAAACTGGAAACATGTTCCTCCAGGCGTACGTTTTCCGTTTGCAATTGATGTAGACAGGACAATAGGGAGGCAACTGTAAAGAAAGACAGGACGTTTTAAAAATAATGATACAAAGAATATGAGCTTTCAAAACTCTTACTATCAAAATGCTGGGCTTGTTCCATTAAAAATTGTGATCCTTGTTCCCATTGCCTTTCCAATAATTGTTCCAGACTTTGGGGTATGGCCAAACTGCCATTGGCACCACTGCCAAACATTGAGGCCAATGGACTGGGACCAGCACTAACCGAAGTGGTGGCAGAGGGTGGCGCAGGTGCAGCTAAACTGGGTGTTGAGGTATTGCGCTGTAAAAAAATCAAGAGAGAGTTAAAAATAATTTTAAACAGATTTTTGAAAAAATATGCAAAGAGAATATAAAAAAAATTAATAAATAATGATTTTTTGTTTTAATATTTTTAATGTTCTAGATGATCGATTTACTTTCTTAGGTTTTGTCCATTAGTACTCTTTTCCTTCTATGAAGACTGTATATCGGTTTAGAAGTTACAAACAAAAAAGTCAAAGCAGAAAAAAAAACCTTTTGAGTTTTACGATGTTTGAGGTACTTGATGTCTGATTTCCTTGCTGACATATTCCACACATTTTTTCTCCTGGACCACAGCTTCTATTTCTCCGAAGACAGTATACTAAAATTCCTAACAGTTTCGGAGATATAACCCAAAAAACTAACCCTTTAAATTTTTGAAAAATACGATAATTTTACGTTCTACAATTTTTGAGGTACTAAATGGCGGATTTCTTGTGCGACATATTTTACACATTTGTTCACCTAGTCAAATGCTACAAACATGTCAAAGATTTTATACTAAAATTCTGAACTGTTTAGAAAATACAGCATTGGTTTAAAAAAATATTTAATATTTAATTAAAAGTAAAATTTTTTGCGTTCCGAAATGTTTAAAGTCCCAGATATCTGATATTCTGGTTGTTACGTTTCAAACACATTTCTCCTAGTTCTCCTTTGCTACAATCCTACCAAAAATAGTTACTACAATTCCTATCGGGTTAGAAGATATAACCTTAAAATGCAAACCCCTTCAGAGTTTTTGAAAAATAAATTCATTTTACTGTATACTATTTTTTAGGTACTAAATGGCGGATTTCATGTGCCATATGTTCTACACATTTGTTCTCCTAGTTCAATGCTACAATCCTGTCAAAGGCCTTATACTAAAATTCCGAACCGTTTATAAAATACATCATTGGTTGAAAGAATCTTGAAAAAAAAACATGTAGAAAAAATAAATTTTTTTGCGTTCCGAACTGCTTGAAGTCCCAGATAACTGATTTTCTGGATGAATGTTCCATACACATTTCTCGTAGTCCTTTGCTACAATTCTGCCAAAGACAGTATACTAAAATTCCCATTGGGTTCGAAGATATAACCTCAAAAAAAAAATCCCTACTAATTTTTTTTAAAAATAAAATCATTTTACGTTCTACGATGTTTGAGGTACCAGATGACTGATTTCATGTGCGATATGTTCTACACATTTTTTCTTTAAGCCTTTGTCTATTATTCTACCAAAGACATTATAATTAAATTACTATCGGTTCCGAAGATGTCACCTCGAATTAAAAAAAAAAAATCTTCAAAAATCGCATAGGAAAAAGTAAACTTTTTGCTTTCTCCAATTTTTGAAGTACAAGATGACAGATTTTCTATGAGATATGTTCAAAACTTATTATTTGCTAGTGCAGTACAATAATTCCGTGGATGACAGTATACTAAAATATCATTCGGTTACGGAGATATAACCTCAAAAAACATACCCTTCAAAATGACCCAAAAATAAAAACATTTTACCTTCTTCGATGTTTGAGATACTAAATGCCTGACTTTTGTAATGATATGTCCTAGAAATTTTTTCTTCTAATCCTTTGCTACAATTCTGGCGAAGACAGTATATAAAAATTCCTACCGGATTCAAAAATATAACCTCAAAAACAAAATCCCTACTAATTTATTGAAAAATAAAATCCTTTAACTTTCTGCGAAGTTTGAGGTCCAAGATGTCAGATTGTCGTAATGATATGTCCTAGACATTTTTTCTTCTAGTCCTTTACTATAATTCTGCCGAAGACAGTATACTAAAATCCCTATTGGTTTGGAAGATATCACAATGAAGTAAACAGTCTTAAAATCGCATGAGGAAAACAACTTTAGCGTTCTCAATTTTTTTTAATTTATTTTTATTATTCCCTTTTATTCCTCTTTCATTATTCTATAAGAAGAAGACATACAATAAAAATATAATAATATGTCCCCCAATCTATCCTTCAATAACTACCTTAAAACTAACCTAAAATATCACATTCCCTAATGAAAGGCCCTTGATGTAACTCATTTGTTTTTATAAATCTCTTTCGTTTTGTTTTTATTTTTTCTTCGTCTCTATGTTTTACTTTCAATTAATTTCTCAGGATTTATCGCCATATTTTCCTTTAATAACAACAACCTTTCAATTCCCCTCTACCATAAATATTTTTATTTACTTCCCAAAAGGGTGGTCGCCTTTGATTTAAATGAACAAAAATCAAAGCATACTTTTTGGGGTTATGAAATAATAAAACAAACTAAGATTAAGAAAAACGTTTTACTCACCAATTTTCCTGGGAATGGTACACCAACAAATTGTGGCATTACTGCTTCTGGACCCGTATAGGCATTATGATCCTGTATCTCCATACTCAGTTGATCGGAAAGTTTTTGAGCCATACCACTGTTCGGATTCAATTGATTACCCAACATGTGGGGTGCGGTGGTAACAGTAACTGAGGATGCTGCTGCGGCCGCCGCCGCTGCTGCTGCAGCAGATGTTGTTGGTTGCTGTTGTGGGGTGGTGGTGGATTGTGGTGGTGCCAATGGTCCTCCTGCTGTTGCTGGTAGACCATTTTGAAATACTTTAATGTCTTTGAGATCATTTGCTGGGGGAGTGTTGGATGTTGTCGTTGACGCTGCTGCTGCGGCTATGTTTGTTGCCTCTTTGGCTCGTCGACCACGTTTACGTGTTGTGGCAGCCGCCGTCGCCGTTGTTGTTGCCGTACTACTTCCAGCCTCTGAGCCCGGAGAACTGGGTGGTGAATCTTTAACAGTGGCCATTGTAGTATCAATGGTGGGTGGTAGTAATCCTGATGAGCCCGTTGTTGTTGAGCCAGATTGGGGTTCATAGGAAAATTTGAGACCTCCACCACCACCCATATTCATGGAGGATGATGAACAGGAGCTGGTGGTACTGGCATTGCTAACATTAAATGAGGAGGATGAGAAGACACCGCTGTCGGGAGTTCTGTTGTTGTTGTTGGTGTTCGAGTTCGTGGTTGTAGATGATGGCGAGGGTGTTGCAGTAGTAGTGTTGTTGTTGTTGGAAGGTTTTGAAATTTTATTATTATTTTTGTTGTTGTTGTTGTTATTTGTATTTGTTGTGGTTGGGGCAGTAGTAGCAGTCACATTTGATGATGTTGTTGATGACGCAGATGTTGTTGTCGCATTGGCGGCGTTATTGTTGTTGTTGTTAGTATTTGGGGAAGTTGGGATGTTGACATTGTTGGTGGTGGTGTTGTTGTTGTTGTGGGAAGATAAAAGAGAATTTGAAGAAGAAGAATTTGTGGTTAATGGCAAAATTTCAATAACATCATTATCGGCAGCAGTGGTGGTTTTCAAATTTGTTTGTTTGTTGCCACCAACAACAACATGCTGCTGCTGTTGGCTTTGTTGTTGTTGTTGATGATGTAATTTATTTGTGAGTTTACTGTTGTTGTTGTTATTATTATTATTAGTACCAGCAGTTGCAGTGTTATTAGATGAAGAGGAGAAGGTTGAGCTTAAATTAGTAGCGGAATTGTTAGTAGCTGTGGCCGAGGAGTTGGATGTTATTAAGGAATTAGAGGAAGAAGCGGAATTTGTTGCAGAAGCAGAAGAAGAATTAATATTTGTACTAGAAGAGGAAGAAGAAGACGAATTTGCAAAAGCATTGGTATTTTGTTGATTTGTGCCGGAGGAAAGTAGTGAAGCAGCAGCCGACGAATTGGAATTGGAAGAAGAGGAGGAAGTGGAATTGTTATTCGTTTTGTGGTTGCTGGCCATTTTGGAGGAGGCAGACGAGGAGGAGGAGGAGCTAGCGACAGCGGACGTGGAGTTTGAGTTACGCTCAGGCGAGACATGTTGCTGCTGCTGTGTAAATCCACGTGGAGGTGGTGGTGGCGAATGTGCTGATCTCTGCTGATTTTTATGATGAGCGGAGGAGGAGGAGCTACTATTCGAATGTTGCTGTTGTCGCTGTTGCTGCTCCTGCTGCTGTTGCAGATGTGACTGATGGGCCCTTAACATTTTCTTATTTAAGGGTTTGTTGGCCGCCACCATAGAACCACCACCACCTCCTCCGCCTACAGCTGACGAATTATTATTGGTGTTGGTATTGTCAACAACATCCGTTAAATTATTACTACTACTACCACTACTGGTTGTGCTGCTGTTGTTGTTGGTACTGCTAGAAATACTGCTACTTATAAGACTACTATTTGGGCCGGTGGTGACGGCAGAAGAATTACTACTACCACTACTACTATTATGTTTAGATGACGAGGAGGATAGAGAAGTTGTGATGGCGGTGTCAACACCACTTTGATTATTATTGCTGTTGGTGTTGTTGTTGTTGCTATTATTACTACTACTCTGGTTGTTGCTATTTTTTGTTAGATTGGTTGCTGTTGATTGTTGTTGAATGTTCGTCGACGTGGTCATATTACTCAGGGAGGATGGTAATGGTGATGATCTGGTGGAGATACCACTACCACCACCCGCAACACCTCCTCCTCCCCCACCATTAGGTGACGATGTTGTATTACGCATAGATGCCGCCGATGATGATGAGGATGCAGAGGAGGAGGTGGCTGAGGAATTGCTATGTTGATCTACCGGCTGTAACATTACAATCGGTGATGGTGAGGGCGTGGCCGAAGGTGTTGAAGTGGGCGTTGGTGTACGGGTGGAAGGTGTTGGTGTACTACTGGGCGGTGGTAATGATAGTGGTGATGGTGCTGTTGGTGGTGGAGTGGGTGTTGTTAAATCGGCATGATAGTGCGGTGAACCCGTAGCCATCTTATCCAAAGCCGATGAAGAAGAAGACGACGACGACGAGTTGGATGTTTTGGCCAATTTTTCTTGTGGCGGCTGCTCATTATTATTGCCCGATCCCGAAGAAGAAGCGCTTGTCGAAGATGAAGCGAACCCGGATTTTGCCGAGGCCGCACGTTTTTTGGCCGAACGTGAATTAGTTTTTTGTGATGAATTATGTTGCTGTTGTTGTTGCTGCTGCTGTTGGTGATGGTGATGGTGGTGTTGTTGATGTTGTTGCTGCTGTTGTTGTTGTGCTTGCAACATACTACTTTCACCTGAGCGTGATCTGTTTTGTTTTGCGTTTGCGAAATTAAAAAAGGAACGTACGAGCGAACGAACGAACATACAAACACAACAAATTCCAATCGTGATATTTTTTTGTTCAAAAAGTGATTTTAAATTTTTTCGAAAACAAAATGGAATTAAAAATTAAAGTGGAAAGAAGAAGAGAAAATATCGAGAGAAAAAATTGATATTTATTTCTTTGCAAATTCAAAATTTGAGGTTATTTTCGAGTTAAAAATATTTTTGGGTGTATGCAGAGAGAATGTGAGGGGGTGGGGTGGGTGTTGTGGTGGCATGACGTGTTCGGGTTGGTGTTGGCACGAGCTTTTTTTGTAAAGTAAAACATTTTGTGTGTATAGAGGGGCCGGGGTTTTGGGCTATAGGAAATAATGATTAAATAAGGTCTTTTCCTATAAAAAAAAAACTCCTTGTAAAATTATCGATAACATTTTGGATAATAATTTTCTGTATGCCAAAAATGATCGATAATATTTCTATATAGAAACATTATCGATAACATCTTTATGTAAAAAAAATTATCGATAATAATTTTTTGTACAGAAAAATTATCTATAATAATTTTTATATAGAAATATAATTTTTCTGCATAGAAAAAATTATCGATAACATTTTTATGTAAAGAAAAATTATCGATAAAATTCTTAATTTTTGATATAGAAAAATTATCGATAATAATTTTTATATAGAATCGATAATTTTTACATAAAAAATTATATAATAATTTTTATATAGAAAAAATTATAGATAAATAATCGAAATTTTTATTTTTAATATAGAAATATAATCGATAATAATTTTTTATATAGGAAAATTACCGATAATAATTTTTTATGTAGAAAAATTATCGATAATAATTTTTAATATAGATAAATTATCGATAATATTTTTTCGTATCGAAAAATGATCGATTACAATTATTCCGTGTCGAAAATGTATTGATAACAATTTTGCTGTATATAAAAATTATTTGTAACATTTTTTTTTGTATAGAAAAATTATCGATCACAAATTTTCTCTATAGAAACAAATTCGATAATTGTTCCATATAGAAAAATTGTCGATACAAATGTTCCGCATAGAAGGAGCAATTAGTCCCAGTAAATGAGTCGATAACAATTTTTCTACATAGAAATGTTATCGGAAATAAAGAAATAAAAGTTTGCACTTAACAACTCATAATCGAAGATCTCCAGATAATTTTGAAATTTATAAACCAAATTCCGAAAAAATAGCAACAACACAGAAACTTCTCCTATAAAAGAAAATTACAACTAAAAAAAATTTAGAACCAAAATTCCGATAATCTCCATTTTCCACATCTCCGATTCAGACTTAATACAAAATGGGAGATAATCAACATAAATTCTAATTAATACCAAAGAATATTGAAAAAATGATAATGAAAGGAGGGAGAAATAGGGGAAAGGGGATGAAAGCATGCACTAAAACTAAGGAAATCAAAATCAATAGCAAAATACAAAATTGTTGTTGTGTTAGTAACGGTATTCAATGGCTATAATGTTGATGGGTATCTCTGTGTGTGGTGTGATGTTTAATGTTTGAATATGACAAGTTATCTTGCACTAACCTGCTACGTCTCATTGGTGCCGTTTCCTGATCCTGTATTTGGCTAACACGTGACGAAGACGACGATGAGGATTGTTTTTCATAGCTAATTTTTAAATTACCCGTCTCTGTGGTGGAGGCAGTCAGATTAATACCAGTTGTCGATGCCGACGATGAGTTGGGAGATTTGCCACTTTGTTGTTGTTGTTGCTGCTGGTAGATGACACTGCTATGTTGTTGATTTACCGGTGATGGTATCGAAGATGTTGTTGAGGTGGCAGAATTATTAAACGGCGATTGACGATCTAGTGGTGAGGTTGTGGACGATGCTGCAGCCGCCGCCGCTGCTGCTGCTAATTGTTGTTGACTAGATGACCTTGTTGTTGTTTGTCCAGTTATATGTTGTTCTAAAAGAAAACAGAAAAAAACATAAAAATTAGTATTTAATGATATTGAAAATAATTGTTTAATAAGTATTACCCTGACTTCCGCTTGTGTTAGCCGCTGCTGTTGTTGTTGGTATATTTATTCCAGGTACATTTGCATTGGACAGTGGCACGGATACATATAAACTTGGCGCACCCGCCGTTCCTGATGAGGGGGAATTTGTGGCGGCTGACGTTGACGTCATACTTCCACCATTCGCTGCAGCCAATGCTGCCTGGGCTGCAGCATAACGTTCCTCACGTTCTTTAGCTGCGGCAGACGCCGCTGATGAACTGGAATTTTTATGCGTTGATGTTCCCGATCCTCCTCCTGTACTCGATGATCCGACGCCGGTTGTTGATGCATTGACTTTGGCTTCATTCGATTTATGATGTCCCGACGATGTTGTCGTTGAGCTTGATAATGAAGACCCAACATCCCGATTACTTTGTGTCTCATTACCGCTACTGCTGGTTATCGATTGATGTGCAGGTGGACTTAATTCGGTTTTTTGCTGTAAAGAAAATGGAGGAGAAAAAGGAGCGTCTAAATAAATGATTTAAATATCGAAATTGTTCAAAAGTTAAGGATTTTTATGAAAAAAAAAAATGAACTACCGACCATTTTTATAGAGAGAAAATTTGTTATCGATAATTTTTCTGTATAGAGAAATTATTTTCGATAATTTTTCTGTGTATTCAAATTGTTATCGATAACTTTTCTTTATAGAAAATTAGTTATCGATAAGTTTTTTGTATATACAAATTGTTATCGATAAGTTTTTTGTATATACAAATTGTTATCGATAACTTTTCTGTATAGACAAATTGTACTCGATAATTTTTCTTAATAGAAAAATTGTTATCGAAAACTTTTCTGCGTAGAACATTTGTTATCGATAACTTTTCTATACAGAAATTTGTTATCGATAACTTATCAATATAGAACAACTGTTATCTATAACTTCTCAATATAGAACAACGTTTATCGATAACTTTTCCGCATAGAAAATGGTTATCGATAACTTTTCTTTATAGACAAATTGTTATCGACAATTTTTGTGCATAGAAAAACTGTTATCGATAAATTTTCTGCAAAAAAAATTGTTGTCGAAAATTTTTCTGCATAGAAAAACTGTTATTGATAATTTTTCGCCATAGAAAAACTGTTATCGATGGTTTTTCTGCATAGAGAAATTGTTATAGATATCTTTTCCATATTGAAAATGGTTATCGATAACTTTTCCGTATAGAAAATGGTTATCGATAACTTTTCTATACAGAAAATTTGTTATCGATAATTCTTTTGTATAGACAAACTGCTTTCGATAACTTATCCGTATAGAAAAACTGTTATCAATAACTTTTCTTTATAGAAAAATTTTTATCGACACTTACTGTATAGGCAAATTGTTATCGATAACTTTTCTATATAGAAAATTGTTATAGATAACTTTTCTATATAGAACATTTTTATCGATAATTTTTCTATACAGAAAAACTGTTATCGATCATTTTTCCATAGATATCTACTACTATAGATTAGATTTTTTCTATAGAAAAAATTATAATCGAAAAATATCAAATTTTTAAATTATCTACACATAATAGAGGTTATCGATGTATTTTTGGAAGAAAAAAAATTAATATCGAGTCAATTTTGTAGGGAAAAGCATGTTATCGATAAATTTGAAAGTTGTCATCAACAATTTTTGATCATATTGGAAAGTAGTTATCGATAATTTGTAATCGAAACAAAATTTTTTATCGTTTTATTATCTTTTAAAATAGCCACCGCATAATTACATTCAAAAAAAACTACAAATCATTAATTAACCTCACAATTGAAGAGTTCACATAACTACAACAAACATTTTTTTATTGCTTTAGAAGAACGAAAAAAAATACAACAACGGCAACATCAAGAATAACAACAAATGACATAGAAAAAGAAAAAATGCGTACGTGTACAAACTTCCGCTTTACTGGGAAATCCAAAAGGAAATCAACGAAAAACAAAAAACAAACAGAAACAGAAATGCACAGACAAACACATGCACGCACACACACATATTAGAGATAAACGACAGAAAAAACAACAATGAATGCATTTCGTAATAAACCCCACAACAACAACAAGTGAAATTGCAATTTCAAATGAATTCAAGCCAAAAGAACAACAAAAAAAATAACAACAACGACAAGAAGAAACGTGACCAAGAGTAGCCGCCCCAACATTACAGTTGGCTGAGAGTAAGAGAAAATCAAGAGAACAGAACGGGAGAAACGACGTTTGCCCCCAACTAAACTGTAAACAAAGAGAAGACAAACATTTGATGTGATAAAGAGAGAATGGGGAGCCATGTATTTTTAATAAGCAATCAATGGATGAGAGAGGCGGCATTGATGGCTGACTGGCTGGTCGATGTGAAAAAGGAGGAGAATGAAAATAAAAAAAGCATGAGGAGGCATGAAATAACCCAGCAAAACATAAAAACAAAGTCAATGTTGCCGACTCAAATCAAACAACAATGGATACGACATAGATGAATGGTTGAAAGGTACAATGAAGAGAGGGGAAAATGGAGTAGACGGGAGGAATGAAAGAAATTGTGGTGGATAGACAATGTTGATGACATGCATGCATGTCTTGCTTGCATTGGTAAAGAGTGTCATAGATACAGGCACAACCAACAATGACAAGAACCACAAAAAAAGTAAAAATAGAAGAAAAAGGAAAATGAGGAGGGGAAAACAAATAATAAATCAATACACAAAAAAGAAAACATGAATATTAAACATAAAAAATGGCAGATAAAGCGGCAGGCAACGGCGGCGTCAGGCATTAGAGCGACAGGTTGAATGTACCGACCGACCGACCGACCAAGCAATGATACATAATTTGTGTGAGAGCAGAACACACACAACAGCACCACAGCTGAGCAGAGCATAATAGTAGAAGAGGAAGAAGCATCACATAGAATGTGGCCATATATCAAAAATACAAAAATATTGAAATGAAAATTTGTTGTTGGGGATATAAAAGGCCATAAAATCAGAAATAATCATGAAATAAAAATAGTGAGGGGAAGTGGGAGGTTGCATAAAGGCAAGACGAGACACGGGTCAAAAATTTGAATGGCATGAGAAGACACGACGACAGCCAACACACAAAATTAAATCAAAATAGAAAATAAAATAAAAATAATTTCAGGGTGCAACAGAAGAGCAAAGCAAAGATTATTTATAGTTGTTAGAAAGAAAATTTAACTCAGCAGGAGGGAAAAATTATCCGAAGACAAAATATGTTTTGAAATTTTCAAAACAAAACCACAAATGTATTTCAAATTAATTTCTCATACCTTATCACCACAAAATATGAAAATACCACAAAACTTGTAAAACAAAATTGCAAAGAATTTCACATAAACAAACAAACAAAATGTGGCATGCATGCAAAATTCTGGTTAGATGTTTTTCCTGTTTGAAAATATAAAAAAATCACGCACACACAAACAAACGCAAAATGTTACGCATCGACTAAAAATGCAGTTCGATAAACAACCACCCGCTGAGCGGCAAACAAAGACCAGGGAATGCAGTGTGGTGGAGGAGGAGGGGCTGCTGCATGGCACCCAGCATATTGAAGCATGTCTATCTATCTACGATTTTTTATTGGCAATATTTTGCCAAACACACAGCTGTGATAATAGAAAATACACTAAGTAAATTTTCCTATAGAAAAAAATGTTATCGAAAAATGAATGTATAAGAAATCGATGTTATCGACAACGTTTCTATAGGGGAAAATTGTTGTAACCAAAATTTCTATACAGAAATTATGGAAACATTTTCTAAGGAGTTATCGATGGCTTTTAAGCATAAAGATTAATTATCGACAACTTTTTTTGTAAGAAAAATCTCATATCGACATATTTTCTGACCAGAATAGGTATTATCGATACACAGGAAAACTGTTATCGACAACTTCTCTAGGCAGAAAAGTTGTTATCTACTCAGAAATGTTTTTATCGATAAGCTTTCTATGCAGAAATGTTGTTATCGATAAGCTTTCTATGCAGAAATGTTGTTATCGATAAGTTTTCTATGCAGAAATGTTGTTATCGATACATTTTATATACAGAAAATTTATTATCGATGACTTTTCTATACAGAAAAATTGTTATCGACAAATTTTTTATACAGAAAAGTAATTATCGATACCATATCTATACAGAAAAGTAATTATCGATAACTTTTCTATACAGAAAAGTAATTATCGATAACTTTTTTATACAGAAAATTTGTTATTGACAAGTAATTATCGATAACTTTTTTATACAGGAAATTTGTTATCGACAACTTTTCTATACAGAAAAGTTGTTATCGACAACTTTTCTATACAGAAAATTTGTTATCGATAACTTTTCTATACAGAAAAGTAATTATCGACAACTTTTCAATACAGAAAAGTTGTTATCGACAACTTTTCAATACAGAAAAGTTGTTATCGAAAACTTTTCTATACAGAAAAATTGTTATCGACAACTGTTCTATACAGAAAAGTTATTATCGACAACTTTTCTATACAGAAAAGTTGTTATCGACAACTTTTCTATACAGAAAAGTAGTTATCGATAACTTTTCTATACAGAAAATTTGTTATCGATAAATTTTCTATACAGAAAAGTTATTATCGATAACTGTTCTATACAAAAAATTTATTATCGATAACCTTTCTGTACAGAAAAGTTATTATCGATAACCTTTCTGTACAGAAAAGTTATTATCGATAACTTTTCTATACAAAAAAGTTATTATCGATAACTTTTCTATGCAGAAAAGTAATTATCGATAAATTTTCTATACAGAAAAGTAAATATCGATAACCTTTCTGTACAGAAAAGTTATTATCGATAAAAGAAAAGCAATTATCGATAACTTTTCTATATAGAAAAGTAATTATCGATAACTTTTCTATACAGAAAAATTATTGTCGATAACATGAAAATTATTATCGATAAATGATCTATAAGCAAAAAGTTATGATCGATAATATTTATCCCCATAAAATGGACAAACATTTTTATACATTAAAGTTATTATCGATAACTTCTCTGTACAGAAGAGTTATTATCGATAATTTTTCTATACGGAAAAGTTGTTATCGATAACATTTCTATATAGAAAATGTATGGTCGTAAAATTTTTATACAGAAATTTGTTATCGACAACTTTTCTGTGACGAAATTTATTATCGACAAATTTTCTGTAGCGAACGTTATTATCGATAAATTTTTTGTAGAGAAAATATACTATGAACATCTTTTCGATATAGAAAAAAACGTTTACAGAATTAAATTTATTATCGAAAATTTTTTTATATTTTATAAAAAAAGCTGTTGTCGGTAATATTTATTTAAACACAATTTTGTTATCGATAAAATTAAAAAAAAAATCCTATCGATAAAATTTTTGTTAAAAAAAAATTTCTATAAAAAAAAGCTATTGTCAT